CCAAACTTGCCTGATTAAGAAACAGCAAACAGTTTAAACTGTTGCCAGTGGATGGGCAGTTTTCTCTGGCTTTCTGGTGAATTTCTACTGCTGTAACTCTCAAACTACTGACAATGCAGTGTCCTCTAAATTTACTAACCAACTGTAATTGAGGTTGAGATCACAATTCATAGCTACAAGGGCATATAAAAACTACTGCTGCAGTCTACCAATTCTTTCCAGTCTGAACATAAGGATTGCTTTTTAATGAAATGAAGCCAGTATAACTGCAAGGGCAATGGTTTAAGTGGTCTGTGAATTTCACTGTGTGAGATTTAGGAGTATTCTACCAGGTACTTTATTTCCCTCATTATTTTTGAAATACTTCAAGATGCTTGAAGATATTCTAGTAAAATGTGTTATTAATGCCATGGAATTTACCTGCCACCACAGTCAAATTGGTTTTTTTTACCATAAAGGATGTCATGGCAAATTTAAACTGGGTACATCCATTCACAATTTTCCTAATTAAAAGTTGAACACAAAATGTCATATAGTTGAATATTACATTGTGAATAGTTAATACAAGAGAACTTTCCTATCATGAGTTTCAGTGGAAATCTTAGGCCATTGTGCATTTTTGCAAAAATAAAGAAAGCTAATGATTTCCACATTTATTTAGAGAAGAATGAGAGTTTAGGCTGCAACTGTTGCAGAAGAGGTCAGTCGCAGAAGAACCAGTTAAAAATTGAAATCAGAAATAAAGCAATAAGAAGTAATTAGCATAGAAGGTGAACATGATTAAGATAAAGCTGTTCAAATTAAATCTTTTATTTTGTGGTCTGGTTGTAGACCCTTTTTTTCCATTTAAGACTTCACATATTTAAACTTTACTCTTTGTCCAGTCTGGCATGGGAACATGATTGATGCCCTTTTCCATTAACTTTGTCAAAATGACAGGGCACTTAGGTAAGGACAACCAGATGCCTTGCTACACAATAAGTGGTACCTGACTTGGCAGTAGTACTTGTGAAAAGAATTTATTTAATCAATTTATATTCTGCCCACCTCACTATCCAGAGTGACACTGAGTGGATCATGGTATAATACAACAAAAATATAAATAGAAAGACAATTATAAATATAGAAACACATAAAATTATAGGAGGTCTGTGATTTGGGTATGCTGATAGACCAGAGATTAAGCATGAGCCACAGTGTGCTATAACTGTGCCTTTTTGTTACACATAAACAGACAATTTTGAACATTATTCTGTACATCTTAATTTATTTAATGTCTACATTTTAGTAAATACTTATCTCGCTAATTCAGAACTGGCATTTGAAGTCCCTTGGTTATTTGTACATATGTTTATCTGTTTGTAAGAAGATTCATACTTTATAACTGGTTAGGAGAACAAAGGCCAACTTTGCATTTTGGCACCCTAAATTGACGCTATCAGGGATATCCATTCTGACTGTATGCATATGAAGGTGAAGTACAATCTGCCTCCTTTGGGTCAGTTCACCTCCTGGAGAGAGAGAATTTTAATGGTCCAACTATACCTGTTACTCAGTCATTACTATGAATAAAGACATTTTTTTCCATTGAGGGTTAGGAAGAGGAAAGGCTTCTGTACTACTTCTTGCTTTTGAGTTTTAAATGTTCTACATCAACACCTGTGATTTTTATTTAACTCAAGTATAAAGTCCAGCTTAAAAAAAAGAAATGTATTTTCCAACAGACAAAGGTACAAGAGTTAAAATATACTATGTTCCTAAATTGCCTGACTCATCCCCTTTTATAACCGTGTGAAATAGATTCCCTGAGGGAGATTCAAAGAGTTCCAATGGAGATGCAAGCTGTTTCCATAGCTTCCCAGCAAGTGTCTTGGCTATTTAAGGGGATACATATATTCTAAAATTGCTGCCTTACTGTTGTTTAGGAATAAAAGATTATTGAAACCAAAAACTATCTCCCCTATTCTTAAGCAATATTTGTTTCTCTACTATTTCCACAATGATTCTTGTGATGGAAATTCTATGACATGTCATGCTTGGAATCTGGTGAAGTCTAATTTCTTGGCTTTTTTTTTAGGTTGGGGGTCTGGCCTCTGAAAATGTGAGATGGGCTGATTCAGTAAGAGATTTCAAACTGCAAGAAAATGCACTGTGTGGTGATGTCTTGTTGATTACTGCCTTTGTCTCCTATCTGGGGTATTTCAGCAAAAAATATAGACAAGACCTGATGGACCATGCATGGAAACCATACTTAAAGCAGCTAAAAGTGAGCAGAAGGCAAATGTTATATTTTCACATGCCTCTCTTTTGAAAGTGCCATAGCTGCTGTTGCTGCTGCTGGCCAGGATGGTATTGGGAAATACTTCTTTAGTTGCCAAAACTTGTTTTGGATTAATAGTTAGGGAGACTTTCCTTTTTACATAGGTTGTTTTCTGTGGGAATGAAGGTTATTTCCTCATCTTCTTTTTCCTCTCTTTCTGGTTTCTAACCTTCGTACTGTGACTTGATGCCAAAAGTAATATGTTGTTGCTCTTTGGGGGAAGACATGATGAACTAAAGACAGCTCTGCTAAAAGTAGAGCTGACAACAATAGCAGAATGAAATGCTGGCTAGTAGCTCTTTGCAGTTCCTTTCTAGGTAAGGAGAGGAATTGAGATAGCCCATAAGTGCTTCATACAGTTGTTCCTCATCAGGAGATTGGCAGGTTTAGGAAAGATCTAAAAGTTACAATTAAAATAGAAACACTGAAAATTAACATTACTACACAGTAGAACAAAATATGTTAATATGGGAGAGATTGAAGGATTTATAATCAATGGACTCATACGTTATATTCCATAGTGTCTATTAGGTCATCTGCCTTTATAGAGAGACTTTGTTTAAAATATGTTATGAAACAGGAACAAATTTTGCCTGACAATATTGTGACTGATCTGAAAGTACTTTTAAAAATAATAGGTTATAAAAATAAAATGGAGAAAAAACCTATGATGAACACCTAAAAGAAACCAACTGATATTTTAATAATTAAACGTAATATGGAAATAACAAACCAAAAGAGTGTACTGGATAATTTTTCTAATAGGCTTGTCAAATAGGCTTGTCAAAGCTTTGTAGAATTTTATGAGAAGGGACAAATAAAAATTGAAAAAGAAATCAAGTTCTAGGNGGAGATGAGCATCACCCCCTAGAGTCGGGAATGACTAGCACATATGTGCGAGGGGAACCTTTACCTTACCTTTAAGTTAGTAAAATTGCCTGAAAAAAGCAGGAAGAAATTTGAGTCAAATAATATACTGTACTTAAGAAACAGAAATTAAATGCACAGAAATAGGATGGATTTCAATGCTTCAGTGGCTTCTTCAAATTCTTTGATTTCCTTCTAAACTCTTTAACAACCTACCCTGGCACTCAGGTCAAAAGCAGTTTTTTAAATGGATTTCATTAAAAATGTTTTATTTATTTTTTTAAAAAAATATCAACGTCCAGTGAGTATCAGAGTAAGAATCCTTGTGTAGAGTGTCATTTGCTCTGCCAGATTTTTTATGTCTGTTGAATGGCAGCATGTTATATGCCTTTCTTCTTGGTTTGATGTGATAGCATTTGCTCATAATAGCTGGTCCATACTAATGCTTCCATTGGCTTTAAAAATCTGCATTCTCTTAAGGTTGCTGTCTAGCAAACTCTGGGGTTGGTCCCATGATGGGTAGTGGGTAGGATTCTGCTTTGGAACTTGCCATTGTGTGACAGAAATGGTCTTACCCAAGCCATTTTCAGCTGAATGTTTCTTTTTAATTGCTTTAGGGAAATACTGTGTGTGTCATATTCCGATATTGAAATGATAAGTTCTTTTTAATAGCTTTACTGGAGTTAATGAAAAGCAGGAACCAACTGCATTGATATGGACATAAAGAGTTTTTACAATGGCTTCTTTGTCAGTATGTTGCATGATCCAGCTCTGACAAAGTTTCAGTGCCACATATGTGTTTGATATGCCAAACGTTTGTTCTGTAACGGAAGAAACTAAACACACAAATTCAAGCAAGAAAAGACTTTACAAAGGACTTGAGAACTTAGTCTGATTGAGTACATTTAATTGTTATAGATTTCACCAGAAGGATTGAGCTTCGGTGCCTCTCACTGAAATCAGTGATACTTTAGCCTTGACCATGCATGGAGAATGGAGTTCCTCAGTATCCAGGTTCTCAATATTCCCCTCATATAAACTAGTTGGTCAAAAACATTTTGTCAGCAAATCCTAAGATACTTTTGAGTTCGTCAAATCATAATATACCATTTGATTGTATGAAGATGGATTCAGAAGTCAGAGCATGACATAGTAAATATTCTGTTATCTTGCCAGCGAAGCCTACATTCACATAAGGATCCTAGTTGTGCTCAGTGACTGGCAGCCAGCAAGATTGATCTCATCAAAAGTACATGGGAATAGGCATGAAACAGCTTCACTATGTGGTTTGTTGCTGTTGATGCGTTATTCCCAGTATGATTACAGCTACAGGGTATGCTTCATGACTCAAATCACTTTAACGGATACTGGCTAAAGATTCACGAGGCAGACATTTCTCTGAGAATTTTCAGTTAAGGTCCATGTTTAAACTCCTCCTGCAGCTGCAGACACACATTGTCGATTTCAGGCCAGGCTGATCTTTTTCTGGTTATGCTTATTTTTCCATATCATGTAAATCTGAAATCTAATTGGGCTTTTTCAGTGTCCTGCAACTTGGCTGAAATGCCAAAAAAAATGTGATTGGTTCTCACACTTAACAAGCGGGTAATGGCCCCAAGTCACTAGAGGGATTCATTGCTTTACAAAGCATGAGTCATAATATTTAAAATGCAGAGTGCCATCCCAGGCTTCAAAGCTTCTCTCTCCGATTAATAGCTCTAGAGGTTACTCCATTACCAGAAAAGTAAGAAAAGAAAAAAAAAACCCATTCATTTTCATCTCACAGGCTTGGTCTTTTTCTTTTCCTTTTCAGATCAATTTGACAGAATTGAAGTCATTTGGATCGCCACCGTCTGCTGTCAGCAATGTTACTGCTGCCGTGATGGTACTCATGGGTTCGGGTGGTAAAGTCCCCAAAGACAGGAGCTGGAAAGCAGCTAAGATGGCCATGGCCAAGGTTGACGGCTTCCTAGAATCCTTGATTCACTTCAACAAAGAGAATATACATGAGAACACCCTCCGAGCCTTACAACCTTATCTTCAGGATCCAGACTTCAACCCAGAACTGGTGGCATCAAAGTCCTATGCAGCTTCTGGGCTCTGCTCCTGGGTCATCAACATTGTGCGCTTTTACAATGTATACTGTGATGTCGAGCCCAAACGTCAGGCTCTCAACAAAGCCAATGCTGAGCTTGCTAACGCCCAGGAAAAGCTGACTAACATCAAAGCCAAAATTGCAGTAAGTCTGAATGCAAAAAAGCAACCTGGGATACAAGTGCAAATTGAAATCAGCATTGCACCTTGGAATTCTTGGCATCGGTTACTGTCTAGAGCCTTAAACATGGGCTTCTTGCATAAGTAGCTGCTGCAGGAAAACACCCTGCATTTTGCCTAAAGAAAGTACCATGGCTTATTTTAAAACAGGGTGATACTTGTACATTAGTAATTTTTTAAAACAATAATAATCATGAAGTAAACACTATGTAAGTTGAGGGTTTTCTGAGTAGTTAAAATGCAGCATAAAATGACCAGAAAAGTGGTGGCAATTGACCACAAAATTGTTCTGCCTTTTTTAGACTTAACATTTTAAATTCTTCAAATGCATCAACCACAGAGAAAGTTCCAATTATTTGCAGCCTTAAGAGCAATTTGGTGAGCAATCCCAACTCTAGGTGATTGATTATTTAATGACACTTAAGGTTTTGCTGTAAGGCTTTTGGAAATTATTGCTATAGTATTTGTAGTTAAGATGTATGTTAGAGAAGGGAAGATCATGAAATATTTTCACAGAGTTGGCTCTTACGTTTGTTACTTTTGTGAGTGGGACTTTGACTTTACTTAAAATTAAATCAAATCTATGTATTATAAACATAGACTTAGTGACTCTAAGAATTACATGATAGGTAGAAACCAATATACTTGTTCCTACTGTGTTTGATAGTAGGCTGTCTACTAGGCTGTTTACTTGTCAACCAGGCTAAGCAAAGCATTTGTGGCTGAATTTCAGCAGAATTGATATCTTTAGTTGAACAGATATTCCTCCCCCTCCCCAACTGAATCTTCCATTCAGTTCCCCCAAATCTGGAGCAGGAGATTAGAATTCCTTCTGAAGCATCTGGGGTGGGATGTGATGGGGTACAGAGGGGTTCTGGGGAACTGGTAGCAGAAATTTTGAGAAGTTCGGAGAACCAGTAAATATTACCTCTGACTAACCCTGCCTCCAGCTATTCTCTGCCTCCTGAGTCCCAGCTGATTGGGAAGAAATGGGGATTTTGCAGTAACCTTCCCCTGAAGTGGGGAGGGAATGGAGATTTTACAGTATTCTTTCCCTGCCGTGCCCACCAAGCCACGCCCACCAAGCCACGCCCACCAAACCATTCCATGCCCACCAAGCCAGGCCCACCAAGCCATGCCAGGCCCATCAAGCCATGCTCACAGAACCGGTAGTAAAAACTTTTGAATCCCACCACTGGTACAGAGGAAAGGTTAGGGAGGGGCCATCATTTGTATAACAACACGAGTCCTTTCATGTGGTGCAAAAGTACCTTTTTCACAAATAAAGAGTCCTGCTTGAAGAAGTCAGAAGCTTCTTCACGTTTTAAGACAGAGCTAATTTATATGGTATGCTTGCATCTGTGTTACTGTACACTGGACAAGCACACATACAGACACATGCACACATGTACTTTTAGAAAGGGAGGAAGGACATTTATAGAAATTGTAGCTTGGGATTTTTGGAACAATTCTGTTCATAATCATTCCAAACGCTACTAACAAAGTACATACCCTTTTCAAATTCAAGTTTATTTCTCAAGTATTGTTCGAGCAGTATTAAAATGATTTAGAGGCACTTAACTTTAAGCTGTTGGTGTGAAGGCTGATAAAAATCAATTGTTAACTTCTTTTGTCACAGGAGTTAAATAATTTGGGAACACTCTGCTTTTGTTTTACAGTGAAGTAGCAAAAATGATCAATTAGAGCGATAGAGATTGGGAGACCCATTGTGAAAGCCACTTCTCAGCCCCTGAAATAAAGCTAATAGAGCCATTTTTGCATGAGCCTTTCCGCTTGGCTTTCTAAATAACTCCCATGAGCAGTTTTGCTCACTCAGGCTATAAACAGTACTGATACATGCACTTTTATGTCTGGAATTTTATATCAACGGCCAGAAATCAGTAGAAGATGCAAAGGACAATGTAACTTAACAAGCTACGCCTGCCAATATTTTATTTCTGTACAGCTATTAAAGCTATAAGATATCTCCAATTTCCTTGTGTCTAAACTGATAGAAACAGAGGTAGAAATATTATGAAGTTAAGAATAGAAAAAAGCAAAGCAAGCTGTGTTGAATGCATACTGGTGAATGGTAGCTAGAGAGATGAAACATTTCCTCAGAAGAGCATCTGATGTCCATCTGGGTTGATGGTCACCAGATTATAAAATA